TTCACAGTCCTGCTCTGTGAACTCAGTTAAATCCAGTTCTGCTCTGCTCACCAAAGCTGGATTAGGTTTAGCAGAGCAGAAAAAGCACAGAATCATAAGTCTTGCAGCAAACTCCTTCAACAAGATAACCTTTATGAGCGAACTGTCTTTGGTTTCAATAAATATGATGTGTTTTTACAAGGGATCAGGACATACAGTCAACCTCTGGATTAGCTGGGCGGCACGCAAGTGGACAGAAACATGTGAGTTGTTTAATACACAGGACTAAATTTGTATGCTGCGTTCATCGGCATAAACATAAGTGCTAAACTCAGACACTAAGTATTCAACAATTACCACAAAAAGGTTTTCTGTCATTTTCTGCCAGATGTGTTGTACAGAGGTTGCCGATGTTAAGCATCCACCTTGACACACTGTCTATTCTGTCTACAGATGTTCTCTCTGAGATAGGTCAGGTTTAATTGCCAGAGTTTAGTCCAAATTCCCATGCAGTATTATTTCACAAAAAGCACCTGGATTTATAAATCAGTAGCTTTATATCTCCGTTCTTTGTGCTTTTGCAGCCAAACGTCGGGACTGCCAAGTGAGAGGAGTCCGTACAAGTCTGTAGGATGGAGTGCAGCATGCAGGCACCCTGACTGATGTATCATGTAAAATAACTTACATCAATGAATAAAGGTGCACACACACACACACACGTCATTGAAGATTTTTTCGTTTCCCCTGAAGCAAAGCGTCACCACATATGCACACTTAAAATTCTCTTCAGACACTGCTTTAACAAGTTAAGTCAAATCCCCCTTTGAGTATTGTATGCAGACAGAGAGGGGCGTTTGAAAGCTACAGGCATGACTTCATGCAACTTGATTCTCGAAGATTCTTCCCCTGCTTTGAGCTGTGAAGGTGATTGCAACATTTCCATCTGCAGTAAACTTTTTTTTCTGCCTGAGTGAGTGACACACCGTCACGGAAGCGGAAACATATGTCTAGCCCTGATGTATTCAAAAAGTTGCTCAGTCCCATATCTCCTCTTTTGACCTCTTTCCCCATCTCTCTCTGTCTCTGTGGTCTCCGAAAGGTTCAAAAAAGGCAATTGTGGACAGCTGCTGCCCTTTAACCTTCAGGGGTTGCCTAATTTCTAACAATCCCACATGCTTGTGAAGCATCTCTCCAGGCCAGACTCACACTCATCACTCCTGAGGTAGAAAGGGTCGTCTTTTGTTATCAACGGATATGATGTCTCTGAGCTTCTGTGTGTTCATGACAACAAACTGTTGCTACATAATCTTTAGCATTTCAATTTCCTAAAGGCCTTTTCAATAATCCAATCATATATATATATATATGTTGCTATAATTAACATCATTGCAGTCATGCATGTCAGTGTAATCTTTATAATCAAGACATTACTGTATCTTAATAACATACAATATGTACAATCTGATGTCATATACTGATTTTAATTAGATATGCAAACATGAACAAAAGCTTTTATAGTTATGTTAAGGACAAAGTCTGAATTGTGGGTCAAAAATCGTTGCTTCTATGATATTATTGACTCATATTTCTACATGTGTATCTCTTTGCGTTGGATATTGGATTTACTGTGACACCGTGTCTTCTTAAGCACAGTGAAGGGAGCTGGCTTTGTTCATTATTTTGATATTCTTTGTGGGCTTCAGAGTGGTAATTGGACACACACTCATGACTAATTCTTTCAGCCCAGACTTCTGCTGCATCTCAATTCTCTGCTGTGGTGCAGCTTGTCCCAACAAACCAGCCCTCATGCTGAAACCGCTGTTTTCTTCTGTTGCCATGACAGCTGGTATCTCAGTCGGAGACGGGAAGTCGCGTGGTTTATGAAATTAATTTATCACGACAAAAACTGTCTGCAAGGGGCAAGCGCCGAGTCTGTGTACGAGGGTTTGGATATGTGTGTGTGTGTGTGTGTATGTGTGTACGTGTACGTACTTTTGTCAGTTTCTGTCTTGTGCACACCATGGCTTATCCTGTCTATGTACATCTCTGCTCTGTGTGTGTGTGTGTGTGTGTGTGTGTATGTGATTGTATGTTTGTTTGTACTGCTAAAAGGCTTGGCACAGGGCAGACCTTTTTGTAGTTGGCAGCAGTGGGCACTCTGCCCAGCTTGTATGGTTTATGGATGCGAATCAGTTACATTAGCCTCCGGCCAGAGAGAGAGACTACCCACCTTCCTGGTGTGAAACGCCAACAAATGTGCCAACACCGACAGCATTAAACAGAAACTGATACAAGCATCAAATGCGTCTGACACACATCTCATGCTGTCAGTCTATCAATAGTTACATTACCGCCACACAAAAAGGAGGCAGGAGCGCAAATGAAATGCCAGCATGAGAAATCTATCATCCAAGTCTGATTTCACGCTACAGCAGCAGGTGACATGTCTTGATTCTGGAAATGTAATTGCAAAATGTTTCCAAAGTGTAGGTGGTCAAAGTTCAGCTTGGAGTTACAAATACATTTCAGACAAAAACACTCTACCGTCTCCGTTTTTAGGCTCAAGCTAATGATCTTACTGTAATACACCCACCAATTATACGGAACACTGTCTAAAGAAATAATCATTTCTGAATTTCAAACTGAAAGCCTCAACTTTACATGATTAAAGTGCCATGTGAGAAATCGCACAATTAACAGAGTGCCTTATAACCAGCGGCTAAAGCAATGTTTGATTCTCATAACCTCTGTAATGGAACCAGTGGAGCAAAAAAAAAAAAAAAAAGGAGGCGGAGAAATGAAGATTTCAGAAATGCATTAAATCTGTATTTCATTAAATTAGAAGTAGAAGCTCCTTGAAAAGCTGCCACGAGGCATGAATGGTGAATGACCGCGGCTTCTCCAAACAGAATATTAATAGGTTATTATACTCACTTGTACCTCCATTTCGTACATCATCAGTGGCCTCGGCAGTAACACAGTAGTTATGGAATTGATATGGCTTTTCAAAAAAACGGAACTGTCACAAAAAAAAAAGATGTCTGCATAGTTCTTTTACTTTCCATCTGCATTTTGGAAGAAAAGTGTCAGTCCCTCTGAGAAGAAGCTCTGGTTAAACCAGTTGGAGAAGGAGAGCAATTAGCTGAGACAAGGCTTGTTAATATTCCCCATCTGAACACCCCAACAGGTCCAAAACACCTTTTATTTCTAATCACACCTGCTGCTGAAAGACAGTTAGGCTCATTCACCCGTGATGGAACTGAGCCAGGGAAGCTATCAAGACTAAAGTGGTGAATGTTTACAGTTTATAATGTTTATGTAGTGAAGATGCTTTTGCAGTTATTCTGTTCTTCTCTCTAAAGGGCAATCAGTGTCGACACTGGCAGCTTATCTCCACACTGAGGCTCAGTATCAGAGGAGAACACGACTGTACTGTACAGAGAGATATACGCACAGAGACACACTCACCTTTGACTGTCTAGTGAGAGTGGTCCCGATTGATGCCCCCTCCTGGACTCCCTTAACATAGGCTGAGGGTCAGCGGCAGGGCAGCGCCTAACTCAGACGGCCCTGAGGCCAAACCATAATATACCACCTCAGTTTTATGATTTGATCCCCTAAGACTGCAGAGTGAACATTAAGAAAGAAACATACGTCAGTGGTGTTGTATTTAAAACATGTACCTCTTTTGTAGGAATTGAAATAGTGTCACTATGTGTGACATCTGGGAAGTATTCTGACATTCGTTTCTTGTAGCTTTAAAGTTCAATCAGCCTGTTGTGTCTCGAGACTACATCTCTACACCATATAAATCTGTATCTCAGCCAGAACTCACTGGTGTCCCCATCTTAAGACTGTGTGTGTATGTGTTGAGTTATAACATGTCAAGACTGACAGCTGGCTAAACCCAATTAAACTAGTCACCACATTCCTGGGGTCCACCATTAAAGGTGACCCGATGCCCCTCGACACACAGACCGACTTAGAGCGGCTTGTAAAACATGACAGATTTATCATCTTGCCTCTCCTTTCTGTTTTGCTCTACAAGCTATTTTGGTTGGGTGTATGTGTGAGTATACACACCTTGTCTACAGAGGTAATGTGTGAGGAATACAATAACTCATGATCCAACATGATCTTGGCTGTGCTCTTATCATCTGGTATTTTGCCTATTTGATGTTAGATAAATACATATTATCTCTTGTTTGGATTAATGGAATATTGTGTAAAGGTATTGTGCAAATATAGTTTAAATCACAGCAGGTTTTTACAAATATAACAAGTATTTATTGCCATGTTAAACAGCCAGATGAAAAAAGAAGTAAAAGACTTTAACGTGTCAAATCTTGAATACTATTTCCATCACTATTTGCAGAGGTCATTCAAGGGTTGTTTTCTGTCTGCAAGTATGTACACACAAGACAGTTTATGGGTGGATTTTCACATTCTTTACTCAAGGAAGTTTCAACTTACAGTATGATTGTGGGTGACGGCAGACTTAAAAGTCCTTAACATCGTTTTACTTAACTGCTTATTCTGTTACCTTAAAGTGTAAAGCGCAGTCTGTCTGTCTGCGCCTCTATTCACTAAACACATGCAATTTAGAACAGTAGGTCAAAGCTCATCAGTAACCCCCCATTTCTCTCTCTCTCTCTCTCTCTCTCTCTCTCTCTCTCTCTCTCTCTCTGAGCCAACAGGTTGCAGCAGCTTCACCCCCACCCCTCTTCCCAAACTTTTCTGTGCTACAGCAGAGCCCAGGAAAGAAAGTCTCTGTCATTCATCCACTCTTACACACATTCAGACACACCCACCTCCTCTTTCACACAGACACGCACATTGATTCTCATGTACCATTCAGTCGAATATCTCTGATAACGCCGTCTGCAGGAGTACAATATCAATTCCACACTTTTTTCCCCCTGACTTGGATGAAACCTTTTTGTGTATTTTAGGGGATATTTCCCCCCCCCCCCCTACGGCCGTCAAGAGGTCGCCTGGATTGGGAAGATAACAATGATTCACTTGTCTGCATTGGTAAGTGAGATTGTGTGGACCCATTTTAGGACCGTAGTCAAAACCCATAACTTTAACTGCACTTTAATATGGTGCTTTACTGAGAGTTTTGAATTCTTAACTGCCCAGATTCCCTTATTACAGCCTAAGTGTTTGGACTTAAGCCAACACCTTTTACACTGAGTCTTTACTGCTGCTCCTTAAAGTATAATCTCTCCTTAAACAGCATTACTGTCTAATATTAGTGTTTGCTGTTTGTCCATTTTCTTGTTGCCTGAATTGCCTTCATGTGATAAGGTACAGTAATTGCCTCAAATGTGCCATTGCAATCCGTCTAAGAACATGCACTTACAAATACACACCCCATGTCCATGCAGTGCAGATGTCCTGAATGCATGTGTGTGTGTGTGTGTGTGTGTGTTCATCTTTGGTATGAGCAGCTTCTCTGCAGGAGTTAATGCAACTATTGTACACCTCTAAACGCAGCATAAAAACCAGATATCGTTCATTTTACAGTCTTTTCAGCTCTACTGTAGTCATGACTAACAAGAGAATGCCAGGATGTTTGTAAGAGCGTTGTCAGGAGATGAAACTATGTAGAATGAGTTGTGGATTTTTCCCCTTCCCACGCTTAGACTTGTCTGCGCTGGCTGACTGCAAATGCAAAGGAACATTAAGACAGTATGCTGTGTGTGTGCTTTTATTTGTTTGTGTGTGTGTTTTAGCTGTAGATCTGAATTTCACTGCACCAAAGACATCGGCTATCATACATAGATGTGTCCTGAGCTGTGTGTGTGTGTGTCTGTGTGTGTCTGTGTGTGTGTGTGTGTGTGTGTGTGTGTGTGCCTTTTCACTGTAACCAGTTTCCCACCTATGGGGATAATCCATCCTGTGAAGTGGTGAGGTGGAAAATGCCATTATGTAGAAATAGCTGACGCGCAGTTAGACTTGCAGGGTGTGTGATGTGTGAGCGAGTGTGTGTGTGTGTGTGTGTGTGTGAGAGAGAGAGAGAGAAAATGAGATAGGGAACAGAAAGGGAGTATCAGAGACAGTAAACTTCATTTTGCAACATTAATCCTCTCAGGGCAGTGATAAACTACAGGTCTCGGACACACAATACTCTGGACAAAGTGCTTGTGATCCCAGCATGGTGTGAGGCATGGATGCAGTGTTGTGCACGTGTTTTTTGATGTGGGATCGTTTCGAGTCATGTCTGACGAGCTGACTTGGGTTTCTGATGACAAACAAGGACATATTGAGGTTTTGTTGGAATGAGCTGGGATTTGTAGTATGATTATATGAATGTCAATGTCGGTAATGTCCATCACTTCCAGACCTCCATACCTCAACAACTATCCTATTGATTGCCATGGAATTTTGTAAAGGTAGTCATGGTCTCATGTAGATGAATTGCAATGATTTTGGCTATCCCCTGACATTTCCTTCATAATGCCAATGCCATTTGCTTCATGATTTGGTTTATTACCAAATACCTGCAAAACTAACTCCCATCATCCTCGGTCGTTCTGTCTGCTTAGTGCTAACTGGCAAATGTTAGCATGCTAACAAGCAAAACTAAGACAGTGAACATGGTAAACATAATACTTGCAAAATGCTGATGTTAGTATTTACCTCAAAACACAGCTGCTGGCAGAGCTGCTGGCAGGGCTGTAGGCTCATAGTTATTGCAATTTCATTGAATCTTTTCAAAATCATTTGGATGAACTCAGAAATACATTTTTTTGGTCAAGCTAAATCCAAAACTCTTTTATTTTCTGCTGTATTTTTGCACATTACTGAACAACAAGGATCCGCTGCATGCCTCAGGACACTTCTGCCACCTTTGGCCTGTGATGACATGAAAAGCAAACGCTTTTCAAGAATAATCTCATCGAATTTGCCTGCTGCTTTAATGAACACCCATGCGAACCTATTTAAAAATCCCGCTGTAGGATGGCTACAAGAAAGTAACTGTGTACTTCTGCACTCGCTTTCATTCATCAAAACACGCCTTTCTCCTCTCTCTGCACTTGTCCTCTCTGCACTTTACTAATAAGAAGATACATGCTGAGACAGATCTTAGATTTGCATTGGTATGTGAGGGGGGGGGAGGGTGGGGTAGTTTTTTGGCTGTGATACATTAGAGTTCATCTGCAGAGGTTGTAAGCTAGTCAGCCTTAAGCCATTCTTGCTTTGGCAGACTCGGAACAGGTGGTCAAATCACACTGAGGTATTTCATGGAATTCCGATTATTTTACATTGATCTGATTTATTTTTTTAGTGCTTCCTCATATTAATTTATGGTTGAAATATGCTCTCACGAGGAAACATTTGAAGTGATGTATTGGCGGATAGCTTGATCGATGTGAGTATTTCCATCTCGTGTATAGCGAAGGCAGATCTCTCTTTGATGTTTGGTTTAAAAATTTGCAAAACCACATGCTCCTACAGCACAGACACTTAGGCACACATGCACACTTATGTGGGTGTGGGAGTTAGCGAGCTAATGTAAAACACACCAGCGCAAACTCTTTCCGAGATCACAGTTAATGCGTTGAGCGTGTTGCTCTCTGATGGAGGTTCATTCATTTCAAATGGGATAATCTGTTACTGCTGCATGATTCCCTTTGCCAGGGCGATTTAAGTTTTGGATTTACTCTACTTAGGCATTGATTATGCTCACGTAACAGAATGTTTTTGTAGCCTTTTCTATTGATACATTTCTGTGGCCCTCAGCATACATTTAACACTCAACACATTCAGGCTGCAGGATTCCTAAGCTGAATTTGAAGTGGACTATTGAGCCGCACATATGCACTAAAGACACTACAATACGTTAGTGTTATTGCACTATACTTCAATTCTTGCTTTTAAATCTCCAGGATTTAAATCTTCAGGACAATATGCTGGTAAAGCAGCTGCAACGTTTCAATAGGACTGAATTGCATCCACTCAGTGTCTTATGCCAAGTCATAAGCCTGAGGCTAATATGAGGCTAATATCATTCATGCTAACCTGTCTGACAAAAAAGAAAAAGAGGAGGATTTTCTGTATTCCTGGAGTGTTCCTGGAGTGTTCCTGGACCTCCATTTACTCTGGAACAGCTAATACTCCCTTCTCGTTAACAGTACATTGCTGTGAAGAACAGCTGTGTTGTTTGAACTGTGTTGTTCGTTGAAACGCTGCCATGGACCGTCACCATTCATCCCACGCATTAAAAAAAACATGCTTCAAAAACATGACCATATATACAGTATAAGCAGAAAAATAACTACATTTTGGATTGCAGATAACTCACATGGTTCCGTTTTACCACAAATTCACTATGGGTGTCACACAAAACATAACAGAGGGGCTGATGGAAACTGTAATTAGACACACTTGGTGTCTGTTACAGATTTGCCACGGGGCTACATTTTTTTGACCAAGTGCAATGTAGAAAAGCGCACTCACACATTGGAAGCGATTAGCCATGCTGCCCCGGCCTTAGCTCTGTAGATAATCACCCCTGCATTGTGTGTTCCAGGGCATTGCAGGCCCTCAGGAAGTTTAGGTAATCCTCAGTCTCGGACAACATCGTCCAGAGGTTTGGCTGACCAGTCCAAATATCTTTTGCACCTGTCGACTCATACAAGAGCTCCCTTAAACCTGTCGCACCGCTTGAATTTTCTGATGAGGACAGTGCATCTCTACCCTTCAAGCTACTTGAACTAGAAGCTGTCCAGTAGCTACTGTTTTGTCTTCAGTCCAAATGGTATATTCACCAACAGCACAAAGAGTTTAAACTAGGATTTTTCTTCACTTATGAACAGTGTGGACAGTGCCATCCATCCAGGTCAACCTTTATTGGTGTAATAACTTTTAACGTTCATGTTAATAATATTTACACTCAATAACTGCTTTTAATACCCGGGTTGTGGACAGTTTAAAAGCCTTTTTGATGCTTTTATTTCCATAGCGTCATCGGAATCTGTTGTAAAACTGTTTACAGGGAATGTGCACATAATGATGGGAGTGAGTGCAACATTATGCTAACCTCATGTGCATTGGCCTAAATGATTACAATAATAATAATTTAAAAAGATAATAATTGCAGTTGGACATGGTCAAGTTTCATGAAAAGGTTTTATTGACCTGACATGTACTCTTCAGGATTTTCTTCAGAAAAAACATCCTTAATTAAAAACAAATAAATCTAACTGCTTGCTGGATAACATCCAATATCTGGAGGAATGTCTTGACGACTGAATGGAAAGTATTCCAGAGGTTGGAGAGCGCAGAGAGCACACAGGAAATGTGAAAGTACAACAGGATGTTGTAAAAAAATTGCAGATTATATTTTATCTTTTCGTGCCTCTAACGACTGTTTTTCCACTCTCTATTCATCTGTGTGCTTTCAGATAACAGGAAAGAAGAACTGGAATTGATGGTTGTGGAGTGGAATTTAAGAAGGGGTTTTGTGAAGAGAAGAAGAACTGGGTGGAGGAGCAGGTGATCGAAGGAGGAAGACTATGGGCCGCTCTTCAGTGTGGATCTTTCTACTGTCCCTTTCTCTCTCTCATCAAAGCGTCACAGCACAAGCTGAAGGTAACGGTTGACAATCCTACACACAAAGGATACACTCAAACACACAATTCATGAATTTGCCTCAAATGATCCTCTTCTATGTTCTTTTCAAATACCCATATAGCACCATCAAGCTTTTTTCTTTGTTTTTTTCCCATTCATTTAATCAAGATTTCCGTCTGTGACTCACTCCCTCAGTCACCTTTTTCTTTGTTTCGATATGTGTTTTGTTATTTTCTAACCCGTGATATACCACCCTATAGCACCATCAGTTTGGCACCTACAGTTACTGAATTCTGAGTCAACACCATATGTCTGATTGTGAGCAGTGTGCACAGATCCATGAATTAGATGACTTGATTTCTCCGGCCAAAGAAAGGGCAGGTGCTCAACGAACACAGTCTGAGCGAGTGCGCCATCATTAAATCTCCACACATGGATTGATACACGGGGCAGACACTAACCCGGCTCCACTTTCCCTCCAGACTGTTAAACATCTGCTAGCCTCATGTAGAGTACAGCAGTCTGTCTGCCGGCCTGTCAAACTCATCTCCCAGATACAGAACCTTAGCCGCAGGTGCTACTGGATGTCGCCAAAAGGTCAATCAGCCAATCAAAAGTTAGATTTCCACCACATGGAATGTTAGTTGGCAGAAAGTGATTGGTAAAGTTGTTGGGCAGAGTTATGGAAGGATATAAATAACCCAAGGACACATTTGAAGCTGCTGTTACCATTTAACTGTAACCATTATTTATTCTTGTCAGTGTCATCATATGACTGTCTAGCAAGTAGGGGCATGTGGTCGATTTTAAATGAATGAGCCATTAATTCAACACAATGTACGCATGTGCAGTGATTTAAAAACTGCACTGGGCAGTAGTATTCAGCTGTAAACATCACACTCACGTATCACCTTATAAAGTTGATAGCAGAGCAACATTAGCATTCACTTGGAGTCATGTTTCTTGTCCCCCAACAAGACATTATTCCTTCTCTTCTTATCTATGTTTTGGTCTCCACCAACTCTTTAGGGAAATACCTGCTCCACTATGTTCACCTGCTAGTTGTTCACTTTCTTATTCTTCTCTCCATAGTCTTTCAACTACATAATGGACTGCATTGAATTCAAATTATATCCATAACATAATGAGGAGAGTAGTAGACTGACTTACTTGTCTAAACCCCCTGACTGTCCAGCAGGGCAGGTACATGTCACTAAAAACACATCTTGGAGTAATGACTGCGCCTTCGTCACATCTCATTTAACATTTCTGTCCTACGCTTTGTAGCTTCTCCGCTCCTGCTATTACTTTATTTCTTCTTCTTCTTAGATGAACTTTTACTTTCATTTGTCTGGATAAAATCTGATCCTGACGGCCCTTTGAGTTGTGCTCTCTGATGGTTTGCAGTAGTGCATCATTATTTCGTGGGCATTTTCTTTTCCTGGCAGAATTTTCTGTGGCATATGAGCTAGATCTAAGGCGTAAATCAATGGTCTAACAGGTGTACGCAACCTTTGAGATATCAGCATAGATAACCTTCAAGAAAACCGTTCCTAATCCCTTAGCATGTGATGTCTCTTTATCCTTGCCATGTGGTTCTCACCTGCCTGCGCAGACAGACAAACCTCTGGATAATTTATCTTTTTTTTCCACCTCAGTCTGTCTGTCTGACAGGGACCAGCCTCCAGTCGCTTCCCTGCTCAAAGTCTCCACAATGTGGAAAGAAAATGTATCCCAATATATGGGTAGGCCACATGTGTATGCAAGGATTGTTGGTGGCCAACACAGGATGGAGATGACCAACATTGTTGAATCCTGCATCAGTGGTTTTAACCGTGTTCATCAATGATGAATCCACTATTGCTAAAAATATGACAATAAAGCTTCCATGTGGTCATAGATAGTAGCTCAGCACCAGAGAAAGGCTCCAGAATGGTATTCGCAAAGATATTTTGTTTCCTTGGTGTGTGGCCAGAGATGTATAGGTGTGTGAGGGAGAACATAATGTTAGTGCGCCACGGGCTGGAGACATATGTCTCCCCCAGTGAATCCTGGGATTGCAGCCAAAGGAAGAAGGGCGAGATAATAGAGGCGGGAAAGCTCTGTAATGAAATAGAGGACAGCAGAGTTATCACTTACTGAACAATCAGTGGTGCCTCTCTCTTATTCACGAGCCTAATCAATGCTGTCGTCACTGTGGTTTTTTGCATATGTAATGCCAGAATATTGACTCAGAGGACGTTTGCACACGCAGCAGATTTCTGTGAGGACTGTGTACGTTTGCTGGTAAAGTACTGTACATCTGTGGAATATGTGCAATGGTGTGCATCTGAGACAGAGTTGCAAGAGCTAATGTATGTGTGTGAGTGTGTGTGTAGTCAATGCATCAGCGTACCTTTTTTGTGCGTCTGGCTTATAACTACACGTTAAAACGCATCTGAATCCTGCCAAACGCAGCAGATCCTTGCGTTTAAAGCGCTTGTTTGCTCGAGCGAAGGGACTGACCCTGATTTTGGGTGTGTTTACCTTATTATTCTAAGCGTTCCTCTTCGCTGTACTAAAGTTTTATTGCTGGAGTGCTCAGAATATTGATAGTCTCTTTGGCTCACTTGTGTCTCATTAAACATTCATGGGGATTTGTGCGGTGCTCTGGCTGCCTGACAGAAGCAAGTAAAAGGACACATCTTATCATGATGGAACATGACTGCCATCTGGTGGTCAGCGTAGGGATATTTAGGAATGACCAGCCTCCCCCTTTAACCTTAAAAAAAAGAAAACTTATTTGATTGTACAAGGTTAGGGAAAGAGCATGCAGCTATCTTCATTTTTTAAACATGCATTCCCCTGCACCTCACTCCTTGGTGTTTGTGCGCACACTAATTCACACATTCTTCTTCCCTCAGCATGCAGGACGGTGGTGCAGGCAGACATAGTGTTTCTGGTGGATGAGTCATGGAGTGTGGGCCAGACCAGCTTCACCAGAGTCAAAGAGTTCATCTCAACCATCGTCTCCTCCTACCAGGATAGTGTGATGGGCAATGAGGGGGTCCGCTTCGGAGTCACTGTCTTTGGCGATGTGCCAAGGTAAAACTCAAATACAAACACGGGCACAACATGTCGATGAGTTACACACAGTACAGACCTCTTTAACTAGTCGCCATCACGACCGTCTCCTTTGACTTTTACCACAGATGATTGTTACAGCAGAAAGACTTACTTTACTTTTACAAAATGTTTTGTTGACTTCTTTTATTTTGCATTATACAATGCATTTACATGCTTAGAGGCTTAGGAACTTTATTCAGAGAAACAAGATATACACATAAAGCAATGTTTGCATTAGCTGTTCCATTATTTCTACTTGATCCAGTTGTGCTTTCCCTGTCATTTGTTCCTTGTAGGATGCAGATTGCTTTGACAGACTACAGCTCACTGAAGGAGGTTCTCAGAGCCATCAAAGACCTCCCCTATGAGGGGGGATCCAGGAGGATTGGCGATGCCCTCCAGTTTCTGGTTGACCCCGTGTTTAGCCCCGTCATGAGTCGAGACCATACCCCAAAGGTACAATGCTTCAACCAGGGAGACGTGAAAACCAATCCAGGGTGACTGCGTATAAGGATTGCATAGAAGAAGCTATCATCTACCCTTGAAACATTCCCACAAACTGATTACGCCTACTGTACTGGTCTTAACTTTGGAACCTAACCCAATTGCAATCGTCATCAACTGAATTAAACTTGTCTCATAAGTGCGTCGTCAAATATCCAAATGCTCTTCCAACAGCTCTCCATTTCTGTCAGCTACATTTCTCTGAAAGTCGAACACTGTAGTGTAGCCTCCGTATAGAAACAGCTGGTTAGCATTCCTCTCTGTCTCTGAGTGTGAATCATCTTGCAGCAGCACACTTGACGTGGGAAGGCAGGTAATTGAGGACTAGACTCATATATTGAATTGTGCAGCCAGAGCACATGCAGAAAAGCAGCTACATTTTCATATCGATCATATCGTCTTCATTGACTGAGAGGTGAACTTTGAATGAACTGGGTACATTTTTCTTAATGGGCAAATGATCAGTTTCTGTTGCAAACCAGCATCATTGAATTCCACTCTGTCTTTGGGTTCGATTTATTTAATTATGTATTCAATTATGAGTTAAACCATCTCAAATGTCCGTGGGGGCTTTTTGAGCATAGCTGTGATTGCAAGGATATGCTCTCTTTACCCAAAGGAAATGTTGTGTGGAAGGAGGATAAACCTCGCAAACCAGAGATTTAGCACAACACATTTTCACGCAATCTTTTTGTTCCTCTCTCTTTTGTACAGATCGTTGTCATGATCACAAACGGACGTTCGGACGACCAGGTCGACGCCGCAGCCAGAGCTGTAGCTGACAATGGGATTTCTCTCTTTGCAATAGGTGAGTGTGGAAGTTGGTATTGTGAATTCCTCCAACACCCTCACTGCAGTGGCCCCTCACATTTTATCCGAGCTTTGCCAGCTTATCTGCAGTGTTTGCCGTCAGAAATTCACATCATACATTTGAATTCATTGGATTCAGTGTGGGCATTTGTGAGCGTGTGAGAGATTCTTGTTTTTTGAGTGTCTGAGTGCACACATGCAGGTATATTATGCACTGTATATGTATTCAGCTACACTGTATATGTAAAAGTTCACTGTCTGATACCGTGTGTTGCATCAGCAAAGCTTCTTTATCCTATATAGTAAGCCTTTCCCCCACTCATGAATACACACCGCTGTTCACCCACAAGTGTACTTACACGTATCTTTCCCTTTCCCCTACACACACGCATGAGCACAGAAGCCCACGACTTACTCTCCTCAGCTGGGAGCGGTGCAATAATTACTGCTCATTAGCCGATGGTGTGCTAATCGCAGCCATTATTCATTAGACGATTCAGTGTCCTCCATCTGCACCTCTGCCACTGCGGCTTGCTGCTCTCGTTCATCACTCCCGCAGAGAAGCTCCGAGTGCACTACTAGTGCAAAACCAATATGCCTGTAGGGCCTGTATAGCATTGATAACACATTTGTACAGATACATGCATCTAAAGGCTGCGTATGTCTGCAGTATGTATGTGTTTGTACATCTTTTCTTGATTTTAAATAAATCAGTCAAATTGAGATAAGTTGTTTTTAGCTAGCGTGTCAAATATTAGTAGAATAAGTGTGTAAAGAGTACTGATTTTTTTTTGACTCTGCTGTGACCAGGTGTTAAGGGAGCTGATGAGTCAGAGCTGAGGAGGATTGTGTCAGAGCCACATGAGAAGCACCTATTACTGGGCACTGACTACGCTCTCCTTCAAACCATCCTTCCCAAACTGTCACGCAGAGTGTGTTTTACCGCCTCAGAACCACCCCTTCCTGTGAAAACATCCCCGCCTGGTGAGTCAATACACACGCAGTATGAAAGCAAAGTCTTTCATAACAAGCTCAGACATCCTTTCAAAGCTTCCCTCATACTGACAGCTGTTTGCATTTATTTATTTTGATGGTTTATAAAAGCTTGAAAAGTAAGATGTTTAATAGATTTCTTTGATTTCACTCTGCTGTGCAGTTTACTCACTAAGATGGATTTATCTTGCTCACAAATTCTTCCATCCAGACCGACTTAAATGTTTTACATGCTCCCTGCTCCTTTTTTACATATATATTTCATATATATTTTCCTCCCATCCCTCCTTCTCCCAATCCTAGTTGAAGAACGTGTGGTGGGTCCCAGAGACCTGCAAGTTAGCGAGTTGGCCCACAGTTCCCTCAGACTGACATGGAGCGAGGCCACAGGCGACATCACCGGATATCGTCTCCTAGTCGACCCTCTTGGCTCCAGTGGACACCTGCCCCCACAACAGAGACAAGTGAGGCATTACGCATATGCATGATAATAATTGAGCTGGACTGTAACGGAGTGTAGTCTTATTTTCCACGACAGTACATCACTCAATTCTTCTTCCTCAGGACTGCTAATGACCAAAACTGCATGCCACCTTTGTGACCAGCACTAAAATGCAGTGAGTCATCTCTCAATGCAGCCTGAGTGATTTGAGTGAAAATTCCATCTGTGTGGCTCTCCACAGCTGGCAACAAAGCATTAATAGGACCAGTATGATATCCATTTCTCTAACAATATCAGCGCTTCTGTGTTTATGCTTGTGCATACTGTTTTCATGATAACACTGTGGTATACCCTTGAAAGACAGATAATTATGTTACAGTAACAAAAGATGCATGCACACATGCACACGCTAAGCTCCTTCCATTGTCTTCCCTGTATGTAACAGGTTGATCTGAAGGCAGATGTTAGCACAGCAGTGGTGACGGAGCTGACTCCTACAACCGACTATTCCCTCACTGTCTACGCCATCTACCCCAGCCTCATAGGAGACTCTGCAACAATCACCGTCCAGACAAGTGGGTTCCACACGCCGTTGCCTGCTCACCCACCTTTTACAAAATACACAAATACTTCTGCACATTTGTTTTAGGATTTACCTTGCTTCCCTGATCAGCAATGTTCTGCCTTGTAGCCCCTTTGCCTCAGGTGTCAAACTTCCGTGTTATTGAGGAGGGCCTGTTCTCTCTGCGCCTGGGCTGGACGCATCCTCTAGGGAAGCTCAACGGATTCAAGATCTTCATCCCAAGATGTATGCCAACATTACACCGTGCAATTATTACCATTTGACACCAGACGCATTGCACAAAAGTATAGAAATGTTTTTGCAGTATTTGTAATCATAATCGTGTTTTTAATTCGTTGGTAAAGATGAATCATTTAAATTTAAAGTTGTTTGAATGTATATTTCATGTATTCTTCTGGATTTTGTTCCTCTGCAGCCAACCGACCAGGATTTACTTATGAGAACTTGCTTCCTGGAGACACCTCTTCTCACGTGATTGACAGCCTGGAGGAGGATAAGAAGTATACCATCAGTATTTATGCCATTTACCCCCAAGGACAAAGTGAAACGGTTTCAATAGTGGGCAAGACATGTAAGTTTATCGGCGTGAAAACCCCATAATTATACACCATAATTATATTAGTTTACTTTCCAACTTTCTCACACTTAAGTTAATTTCATTTACCATACATAACTCCCTACACTGACTAAACACTGACAGGAAAACAGCTTTGAAAGCTGTAACCTTTCAACATTTGCAGGACAAAGTCATGTAATAGAGTATGAGACAAGCTATAATACAAGGAAGCAAACGCCAAGGTGTAATACTATAATAACTCCACAACATGGTGCTGTTGTTGTAGAATAAAAATACCAGTATTATGTTTGTTACATACTCTCCTTTATCACAATTTTCATGTTACGCTAGATACATATCTATAACGTTTTTGCTTTGATTTTAATTAATTAACATTTGTGTGCTTTTTTATTTTCATTACATTATTTTAAATGATCCTTACTTTCTGGCATTACTATGATTTGTTGATCACTGTATGAACTAAAGTGAAATGTTGAACTTGTGTATGTGACTCTGTGTATATGTGTGTGTTTGTGTGGGTATGGGTGTGTTTCATAGTAAAGCTGGTTCAAGTTCAGAAGTTCCTGGTCCAAAACGCCACCACAGACACCGTCCAGGCGAGGTGGGCATCAGTTAAGGGTGCCACAGGATACCGTCTGACATGGGAATCCCCAGGTACTGTGGTTCACTCTTTGCCACATAATTGAATACAAGGGTGTAGCAAAAAAGAAATAACCTTGGTTTGTGAAATAAAGCCTAAAAATGTGACATTAGAGCCTGTGTGCCTCTGTGTGTCTGTCAGACCGCCACATAGAGAGCATAAACCTTGGGGACAACTTTAACTTCTACATGATCCTGGGCCTCCACTCAGCCTCTGAGTACACCATCACCATCAACCCCATCTTTGGAGACATCGAGGGGCCCATCACCTCCACCAAATTGAAGACATGTAACTAGGACGCTTTCTAGGAAGAACAAAAATACATGAGTGGATAAAGTACAACAGAGCTAGACTAGGTTAGATTTGAAGATGCCCTTTCTGTCTCTCTCTCTGTGTCAGTGGAAAGCAGCTCAGTACAAACTGTGAAGGTGTCTGCTGTGAGCACCAGTACTGCTGTCATCTCATGGAACAGCGTCCCAGGAGCCACAGGATACAGACTGGCCTGGGGACCCACCCCAGGTGATTTACTATGTCACTTTCTCTCATTTTCATCCTTTCTGATTTGTTTACATCATAAAACTATGCCCTGGTTCTTCTTGTGATACACCTCATGACTCTTGTACACTCTTGTATATTTAAATGAGTGAGGAATAACCAAATGTGAGAAAGAGTGATGTGACTGTGCTGTCAATGTTGATATTATTTTCAGAGTTTGTTGGTCGGGACCGTCCCAGGCAGTTGGCCCTGAATGGTAGCACCACGGAGTACCAGCTGAGGAATGTAGCGCATGATACTGAGTACGTCCTGTCTCTCTATGTGCTGTTTGGACCTGTGATGGGACCCGGTATCAGTGCTACCTTCAAAACTTGTGAGTAACAATACGTGTGCCTCCCACCTGAAGTACCACTGAGGTTTAGGAGTGATTATTTTGGATTTTTCCAAAGTTTTAATCACCGCTGTGTCACAAAATGTAAGTAGTGTAATATTGTATGTCCTTTTCATTGATAAAATATCAATTTAATTTGAATCATTTGCATTGAAAGTGACAGACCACAGTCTCTTTGAGTGAATTAACAGGACAGGAAAACAGGAACTTGGTTAGAGAAACGTTAGAAATCAATCAGTCTGTTTAATTTGTCATGAGTATTTCTGTTGCATATCATCGATGAAATTATGTAATTAACCATGTTTTTACAAGAACATGTTATTCACGTTTCCTTCTCCTCTGTCTCAGCTCCTTTGGGCTATGTGTCCAACTTCAAGGTGTCGTCATACACCAGTACCTCCGTAGATGTAGAGTGGAGTCCGATTGTTGGAGCTACTGAGTACAAACTCTCTTGGAACACCGGTGATTACATTTACTCAAGTTTGTCTTTGCCTCAGCCCAATATGGGGAACATGTTTTCACAGCTCAATCAAACAAACTTGTCAGACAACCTTTATTATTTTTGTCCAAAATAATGAAGACAAATTGTGTGCGTAGATAATCCCTACTCTGTACGTAATATTGTGTCGTGTATGTACCTGCATGCTTGCAGGTGATAGCAGCCCTCAGTCCCATTACCTGGATCGCGGTGTTCTTTTCCATCGTATGGAAGACCTGAACCCACAGTCCACCTACACGATCACCATCTGTGCAGTTTATGGCAACTCAGAGGGACCAGAAATCTCCTTATCTCAGCTCACAGGTACAGGAAGTGAGGTCTCCCAGTTTGTTTTAATTGATCGTGATTCATCTTTAGATCTAAATAGCTCTGTGCAGCAGCTGTGCGCGCCATTGTAATTAAATGGGTAGGGAGAACGAAGTTCCTCATCCCGTACCACAGCACCCTCGTGCAGTCTCTGTTTGACTGACAAGTCATGTACTTTGGTCTTCCCATTTTAACCACAGTTCCTGTCGTTGTCACTTGTAGTGTGTGTCCCTGTGTCTAAGTCAGCAGAGCTGCTATCACTTCATCACTGTCAAAGTTAAGGTGTTTCACCAAGCTCCAAGTGCTACATTTACTACAACGACAAATGATAGGGTGTGTGAACACCAGCTCATCCAGCTCAGATGAAATGTATTGATGTTTTTATACCGATTTTTGTTGCATCATGATTGGAATTGATTAGGACGAGTGTTTTGATACTTCTGGAAAAAACACATTTCAATGTTGTAAAATCACCTAACATGGTTATTTGGTGTTTATTTTCCAGCTGCTGTCTCAGGCTCACAGCCAATCCAGGCAGTGAGGGAAGTGAAGGTTGTGGACATCGGAGTCAACTCTTTCACCCTGTCGTGGAGGAAAACATCAGGGGCATCTGGGTACAAAATCTCCTGGATCCCCTTCCTCGGTAAGGGACCACATGAAAAGTCAACCATGTGTGCTTACACCCTAATACTTACATACTGTACATGCATGCATGTATGCACACATGTGTACACATGCATCTACCTATGTTTGCACAGTTTTATGTACACAGACCGGTAACTACAAAATTAATTGTGATTTGTGAAATTGATATTTACAAAATGTTTTCCAATCACAACAAATTGTTACTACCATCGTGCATCGTTTTGGTAATTACTAGCTCCTCATAGATCACTCTGTGGACTTCTAACTGTAACTGAGCACACAATCATATTGTTTCACACTCTCGTTATCTCTACATGTTGGATTTGTATTATTCCCTGCTCTAGGGGGTGATGAGAAGTCCCAGGTGGTATCTGCTGCTTCCACCACCTACACCATCAACAAGCTGCGGGAGAGCTCGGCTTATAAGATCCAGGTGTCCTCCATGGTGGGCAATAAGGAGGGAAGCCCAGTCCTGCTCACTGCACGCACCTGTGAGTCCTGCCTGCCCGAAACAGTGAGGAACAGTATATGAGATGATGGGCTCTCAATCAGAGGTTTCAGGGAGATATTTATACAATTATATGTAAAGCAAATAGTACAGAGATGTCTGTAGTTTTGTAGTATAGCCAGACACATCGGATCTTTTTATTGTTTCGCTTATTTATTCATTTTTATTTCATCATTCATGCGTTTCTTTCTGTTTCAGTGGATCTTCCAAAAGTAAATGGCTTTGCTGCTCTGAACACCACAGACAGCAGCACTGTTCTGAACTGGACACGTGTGGCTGCTGTGTCTGGATACCTTCTCTCCTGGAGGCACATCTCAGGTCTGACAAAGTTTCACCTTTAGTTAATCATCACGTTACCATCACGCAACTTAACTTCTTCTTCTTCTTCTTTGTGTCTCTTTTCAGTGTTGGAGACTAAAACAGAGACCCTGGGCCCTGGTTTCAGCTCCTATAAGATCAGGGATTTGCTGTATGGAAGAACTTATATTTTTAGCATCAGACCTTTGTATGGAGAAGTGGAGGGGCCTATAAGCACCGTGTATCAGAGAATATGTAAGACACTACTTAAATGGTTTGATTAGCTCTGTGAAACATTGACAAACCTCTATCTTGCATACTTGTGCTTATTGATTGTGAAGTATATACGATGTAAGTTGTATATTTTTCCACTCATACTGCACGCTCATAATGAATATAGTTTAACATATTGATTGCATTGTATTAGATGCTGTTCTTTGCTCTGCTCTTACTACAGTTTAAGTCCACACTGACTTACACAGTGTCAGTTCTCTGTGTGTGTTTGAAGTTGTGCAAACAAAATATATATTTTTTTAAATGTAAAAAATACTTATAAACACAATTTTAACTTTTTAAAAACACACAAGTACATCCATAACAATTCTATGTAATAACAAAAACTATTTATAATCATGAATCTATCATTTTAGTTCCCTGCAACAATGAACACCACCTGTTGCTGAAACCCATTTGTTGCTGCAGCAACTGCTGCTGGAGTTTGATTTCGTTTTTTTTGTAGTCAGTGATGTTATGTCTCTGTGCAACTCAGTGGGACAGGAACGCCCGGTGGTAACAGTCCAGTCTGTGCCAGCCACAGTCGCCCCTCGTATCACGACCGCCTCCATCGCCGACACTACCATCACTCGCACAGTCGCGAGGACCACCCGGCACCCCATCGCTGTGCCACCAACTAAATCCATAACCACCAAGAAGCCTCCAGGTCAGCCAAGTGTCCCTGTAGCAAAAGCAGCAGAAGTCCCCTCTCTTCGATTGCCCACACTCCGTGCAGAGACAACAGCTCCGCCAGGACCAGGTATTGTTTATTCATAAATGGATATCGATTAAGCTCTACAATCTACTGTGAGAATATTCTATGAAAGCAATAAAGGGTGCATATAGTGTCCACATCACACAAACGCATTATAGACATTAAATGGTGAATATGTATTTACGGTATGTGTGTTTTTGTGTTTTTTCAGTGTGTGGTAAGACCAAAGCAGACATAGTATTCCTTGTGGATGAGTCCTCCAGCATCGGTGTCAACAACTTCATCAAGATGGAAGACTTCATATTCCGGGTGGCCACTTACTTCCCTGTCATTGGTCCTCAGGGCACACAGGTTGGTTTCTCAGTAAAACTTTCTTTGTTTTATATTGTTCCAGCTTGAGATTCCGGTCACGATATTGCTCTTTGGCCCTAAGTTTGTTTTTCGAGTGGCAGGACAATAACAATTAAAAACTGGATTTTAAATGATAATAGCTGCTGCCAGTTAGCAAACTGCTCCAGTGAGACGTAAGCCAGTGCCATTAGCAGGAGCATAACGTGCCATTATTTCACCTGTCCAAGTGGGAAGAATCTGACTCAAACATTTTCAGAAAGGATAAACAGGGCACAATGCCACATGGCTTGTAATCATAAAGAGTGGCAGCCAACTAAGAGGCACATGCAGCAAATATCTCTCTCAATATATATATATAGTATATGTGAGGAGGAGGATTAAAATGCAATTCAGAATTATAGCTCAAAGTCGGATGCAATTTAGATGATGGTATGATGATGTGTATTTTCTCTCAGATAGCCGTGGTTCATTACAGCGATGAGCCTCGAATTGAATTCCGTCTACATGACTATAAAGACAGAAACTCTGTGCTCAGGGCGCTCAGAGCACTACGTTATGGAGGAGGCAACACCAAAACAGGTTGGTGACACTCAATCAAATGTGCACACTACTTTGCCACCTATCATCCGTTGGCAGGCTATTCCTATAACACTAATTAGGTCCTGCTTTTGATGTCACAGCCTCAAACATCTAATATATATATATGTATATATATATATATATATAATTTATAGATTGAAGATGTGCATTGCTTACAGTCTATATGGTGCATGTCCCTTGCAACGTCACTGCAGTACCTCAAAACAGTGCTGTTCAGACAAGTACATTTCATCTACCAGCATATAACGATGTAAAACTCCCAAAGGTTTAATACCTCTGTGCACCACCAGGAAAAGGCATCAGCTACGTTCTGCAGGAACTGTTCCAGGAGTCTCTGGGGATGAGGCAGGATGTGGCCCATGTTCTGGTTCTGATTACGGATGGCAGGGCCCAGGATGACGTGCTGCCACCCTCCAGAATTGCACGTGCTCTGGGTCTGTGAAACCATTGGAAAGAAAAATTTTAAACGCTCCAAAATGGTGTTTCCAATGAGTTTTACTGTAGAAAAAAGCATGCATATAGCAGAGCAACATTATATTTTTTTCAAATGAATATATGATAAATAGGACTTTGAAAACCTGCTTACCATTGTTTCTCTCTAGGTGTCAGTGTCCTGGCAGTTGGAGTTTCTAATGCAGACATCGAGGAGCTGAATAAGATAGCTGCACCCACCAGCTACAAAAACATCTTCTACTCACCAACCTTTGATGACTTCCCTTCCATAGAGAGAGAATTTATCAATATCATCTGCAGTGAGGAGGTCCTCTCCGAGTTCAAACTTAACGATGAGGCAAGACACAAACAAAGCAAGAATATTGTCTGTCACATTATTGTCTTTCTTTGTTATTACACCGATATCTGTTATAGGTGATACTCACTATATTAAAGTTGCACATGTAAAGTAAATGCATGGAGAAAAGCTGCAGGGTTGGAGATGTTGCCCAAACCACCACTGGAGATGGTTATGCATGAATGATCACTTTTTAATTGACTCGCAAAGACTGGAAGGAACACTGCAGCTGACTTGTCTTTATGTTGACGTCAGAGCGGTGGAGGGTGTGACTGGAGCTGCATTACACAGCCATCTCCGCCACTTAATTCTATATTCTGTCAGTTGAATATCTTTAACAAGTCCATAATTAATTCCTTTTTCCTCGTGTCAATTTGCAGTCCGCTCAGTTGGACACCCCGACTGAGGACCCAGAGGAGTTGCTTAAGCCTCAGGGTCCCTGCTCCTCCCAGTGTGTGAAGGTTGGTAGAATCACATTTTTTTTTATTCCCTAGTGCATTCAACAGCAGCACAATGTGTCGTTTCTGTGTTTGCATCGTGGTTTAAAGATCACCGATTTCTCACAAAAACAATAGTTTGATTCTTGAGTTCTTCTCTTGATTAACCAACCATCATTTCTTTGTTTATCCAGGGTCAGAAAGGGGAAAGGGTGAGTGTACTGAAATGCCTTATTACAAATTAGAAATATACACAAAAGCAGTGTTATTTATATTTTGTATTCTTGTTCTTTTTGTTCAGGGAGATGGTTCTGGTCTCGGCGGTCTGGTATGCTTTATCAAGTGTTCTTCTCAACATTATGACACCCATTAAGTGATAATACTTTGTTGCCACTATGACTTTTCCTTCCACTGTCCCCTCTCTGTCCTGCATAAATGTACCCTCATTGCTATTAATTCAACTTTTAGAATAACTTGTAGTCTTTGTTTTGTTTATGTAGAGATTTCAGCAAAGCCCTGGACAGTATGATCCTTTTACTTCTTCCAAAGGAGAGAGGGGAGAAAGGGTAAGAATCAACATCCAGTAAACACAAACACACCCATACCACCATTGTCATCATTGTCGTCATTAATTGTCAAGATTGCCTTACCTGTCAGCTGTCTTTTTTTTTAGCTTCATCTATTATACATTTTGTCATATACGTATGCAGCAGTGACAAGCACAGAAACAAACAAAGATGTAAATGTGCTGTTCATATTTGGTTTACCTCCGGTGAAAGATAAATGTATTTTTTTGGTTCCCCCATTTGTGCATTGTGCACTGCAACAGATATTTACTACAAAGCAAGGGAGAGTTAGCCAGTACAACAGCGTTAGTCAAAGTCAATGACAGGGATGCACAAAAATGAAATAAAATAAAATAAGATGGAGATGCAGCAGACTCAATTTCTTAAATTAGTCCAGTAATTTTCAGTCCATCTAGAGCTGAATGTCAGTGTTGTTATGGCTTTTACTAAAGTACATTTTCATGTTGTATTACATTTTTTGATTTTTTTGTTATTCGATCTTTGACTCAGTTACAGTGCATGTTAGCACAACTGCTCTGTCTCCATAGGTCCAGTATATCAAATCATTGTTGTAATTACTTTTTCATTTTCATTGTATCCAATTTGATAGCAGTGGCTGTGTGGGTGAGTGTGGCTTTGCTGTGTATGTCTATTATTCTATTTTCCAGCACAGACCATAATGTTTTGATATGACAGGGGCCTCCTGCAACAGATGGTATACCTGGATTGCCAGGACGACCAGGGAGACCCGGATCCCCAGGTTCGGCCGGCCAACGGGTAACTTAATTCAGAAAAAAACAAAAACTCACACTGTGACCTGGTTAAAGTTTATTTAATTTAGGTCTGCCTCTGAAAATATTTATTGTTGTTTATCATTTTTCAGGGCCCTCAAGGCCTACTCGGTGATATGGTAAGACCGACATGACGAATACATTTAGGGGACAAAACCTTAACCCCTAAACCACCTTTAACACCATTAAACAATCAGATTTTCTACACATCTATCAGAATAATGACTTGTTCAATGTTGTTCATTCAAATTCTTCTCCTAATCACTCTTCCTGTGTCTCTCCGTGGTAGGGTCTACCTGGACTCACTGGTTCAAAGGGACAGAGAGGAGACAGAGTAAGTCTAACATGTTCAGTTACTTTAGACTGATTGCTTCCTTGAGCTCATAGGATGAAAATCATCTGTTGTGAATACAGGTTCATGCTTTCTTTCCTCTTGTTACCACTTAGGGAGAGCCTGGATACGTTATAGCTGGCGCAGATGCAAATTTCGTTCCTGGTCGAAAAGGAGAGCCAGGATCGTCAGTGAGTCCTTCAAAAAAAACAACTAATATGGAGTTTTCCAACAGTTAACTTCAGGACAGTTCAAATGTTTCACACTGCATGTTACAGGGTCCCCAGGGGCCTCCTGGCGTATCGGGGGTCAATGGAGCTCCAGGCCTACCTGGCCAGTCAGGACCAGCAGGCTCACCAGGAATATCTGTTAAGGTAACTTGAGAGTGATCGTTTTTTGGGGCCTTAACCCAAGATTGCAATGATGATCTTGTGTTGTTTCATGGTATCATATTGCATAACATAAAGTCATTCTAGAGGAAGCAGTATGAAGTGTCACAGAATGCACCAATCATCGACCAGTTATTTCTGCTGTTTGCACTCTGTAGGGAGATCCTGGGGAGCTGGGAGCAAAAGTAAGTATCTATTTATTAGTCTTTTTAAAAGGTTGCACTGGAAAATGTAATTATAAAATGCACCATACATGGTGTCTACATGCATAATGGGCCTTATGCCCAGTGATTTAATGAATCAGATGTTACCAGCGATGAAATGTTCATTGTTTCATTTTTATCTGATAATTATTTTTGAAAGGGCTTACGTGGGAAGCAGGGTGTGAAAGGAGACAAAGGAGAGTCGGGAAGAGATGTAAGCACATTGTTGACAATATTATTAGAAGAGGCAAAAGACATTGAAAGATAAATCAGAGCCAGAGTTGCTTACTGAAAGTGTTTTTCTCTCCTCTTTGTTCTTTTCTTGCTCTCTCTCTTGCTGTCTCTCTCTCTCTCTCTCTCTCTCTCTCTCTCTCTCTCTCTCTCTCT